GAACTGGGGAGCCCAGAACTGGTCCCAGTGCTCCAGATGGGGCCTCCCCAGGGCAGAGCAGAGGGGCAGGATGACCTCCCTCCACCTGCTGGTCACACTCTTCTTCTTCTTCATGCACGACCTCCCTCCACCTGCTGGTCATACTCTTCTTCTTCTTCATGCATGATAAACCAGGGGTGAATGATAGCTCTCCTTCAGCCGCCCGTGTTTATCACCAAGACCTGCTGGGAGCTGGCCCAGAGCAGCCCGTACGCTGCCAGCTCCCTCCTGGGCTTATCCCTCAGGTCTTGCTGTCTCCCCACACCCTGGATTTGTCTCCTTTTATCCCCCACTGAGATGCTCTCGGGGTAGAAGGAGCTGCCTTTCACCAGGTGGCCTCTTCTTGCAGCTTTTCCTACAGCGGAGGCGTTCTGTGCGGCGTCGGAAAGGATGGGCACAGCAAAACGGTGAGAAATAAATAAAACTTGGGTTTGGGATTTTCCCTGCTAACAAGTGATATGAGGTGGCTGTTCTCCAGATGACAGAGTTACTTTGCAATCAAAGCTCTGCTCTGGGCTTTCTGAGACACGTTCCCCGCTGTAGTCAGAGGGAGATCCCTTTCTCTTTAGCTGCTTAGAAAACACTTCCCTCCTACCCGATGCCTCCAAGTGTTCTCAATCACAGTCCTTGGCTATGAGCACACAAATCCTTTGGGAATCAGCCCGAGAGACTTGCTCGGGTTGAGCTTTGGGGCTGTTTCTGTCCCCAGTGTGGTCCCTGTGGTGTCATTCCCCCTGCACCCTGCGGGGATCGCCGCAGGCTCAGGCACAGCGATGCCTCCCGCCTCCGCGGCCGAGGGGGACACGTGTTCCTGTGGTATTTGGAGCTGGAAAGCTTGCAAGCACGTGGTGGAGGGATGAAGGTTGAATCGGGAGGCTCAGCACTGAGTAGAGCCCCCAAAACCCCTTTTTATAGCTTTTAGGGCAAGATGTGAGGTTTAACCTTTCAGTTCTGAGCATCTCGGGCAGCGCTGCTGGGCACTGAAGCTGCCACCCACTGATGGAGCTCGGGGGTGACGCAGTTTCCACGTGCAGCAGTCAAAAATAAAATTGTTTCAAGGGACTGGGGGGGTTTTGCTTTATGAGTGGAACTGTTTTCATCCCCCGATCCCTTATTGACAACCACCAGCAATTAGCTGTGCCATCACTAATTGCATGCTGCCTGCAGGAAAAAAACAAACAGGGCTGTGTTTTTTTAGCTGGCGGGTGGCAGTGGTCCATGCTGGTGAGCTGGAACTGGGGAGGGGGAGAGCAGGATGGGAGAAGCTGAGGAGCTGGCCAGGAGCATCTCTCCTGGGATGGTGGGACCTCTGAGGTGATGGGACGTCCGAGGTGATGCTGGGTCTGGTTTTTACGCTGTTCTGAAACGCAGAGCAGCAAATCACCCGCATTTCTTCACCCATCTCCTCCTTTCATAGAATCATAGAATCATTGAGGTTGGAAGAGACCCTTGAGATCATCGAGTCCAACCATCTCCCCTACTCTACAAAGTCCTCCCCTACACCATGTCCCTCAGCACTGCATCTAAACGGCCCTTAAACACAGCCAGGGATGGTGACTCCACCCCCTCCCTGGGCAGCCTGTTCCAATGCCCGACCACTCTTTCAGTGAAAAATTCCTTCCTAATGTTCAGTCTAAACCTCCCCTGTTGGAGCTTGAAGCCGTTCCCTCTCGTTCTGTCACTAATTACCTGTGAGAAGAGACCAGCCCCAACCTCTCTACAGTGTCCTTTCACGAAGTTGTAGAGAGGGATGAGGTCTCCCCTCAGCCTCCTCTTCCTCACACTAAACAGCCCCAACTCCCTCAGCCGCTCCTCATACGATTTGTTTTCCAGCCCCCTCACCAGCTCCGTTGCCCTCCTCTGCACTCGCTCCAGCACCTCCAGATCTCTCTTGGATTGAGGTGCCCAAAACTGGACACAATACTCCAGGTGTGGCCTCACCAGTGCCGAGTACAGGGGCACCATCCCCTCCCTCCTTCTGCTGGTCACACTATTTTTGATACAAGCCAGGATGCCATTGGCTTTCTTGCCCCCCTGGGCACACGGCCGGCTCATATTCAGCTGCTTGTCAATGAGAACCCCCAGGTCTCTTTCCTCCAGGCAGCTTTCCTTTGGGGAAAGGCTTGGGTTCCTGTGCCCCTCGTGATGTGCACTGGGAGAACTCACACCTGCATCAGAGCAGAGGGCTGTGAGAGCCGGTGCAGACGGACACAGGTTACCTCCAGCTCTTGTGGACCAGCCCAGCCGCGGTACAGCTCTGAGATCTTGGCAGAGAGAGTTCCCACTCCTCTGTGGATTTTCTTTCCAAGTCTGAGCCCCGTTGCCAGGCAGCCCTGGGATTTAGAACGTATAATTAAGGATGCCAGACAAGTACACTGCCATTAAGCTTTGCAAAGCTGTTGGACTCTCCTAAACCCTCTGTGTGAGAGGGTTGGTTTTTTTTCTTTTTCCAATTCTGTTATGGGTACTTTGTGCCCAGCTCCGGGGCAGGCTCCCCTGCCTGCAGCTGCTGAGCTGCTGCCATGAAAAGCTCTATTTTTTTTTCTGCCAACTGTTCCACCTTGGAGCAGCTCTGCCATCGTGCCTTCTCTCTTCAGATGGTGGTGGTGTGGAACGTTGCTCAGGTGACCCGTGGTGGAGAGGTGGCCGTGTTGGCCAAAGCGCACACGGATGTGGACATCCAGGCCTTGAAGGTTGCTTTTTTTGATGATACCAGGTAGCGTGCAAAGAAAATAAATCCAAAAGCATTGGCTCTGGCACGGCTGCAGGGTTAATCGTGGTGCTGTAGCCATCTAGTTGCCATTCCTGTTCTCATGGTAGCCCTTTAGGGCACTGACCTTTCAGCAGGGGCTTGGGGGATCTTGCCCTGGTCCTCACGTGGTCTCTCCTGGGACAGGATGGTGTCGTGTGGCCGAGACAACATCAGGCTGTGGCGAGTGAGGAGCGGAGCCCTGCGCTCCTGTCCCGTCAATCTGGGCGAGTACCATTCCCTGGAGTTCACCGACCTGGCCTTCGAGGAGGGACACGCGGCCGAGCAGGAGCCGGAGAAACTCACCCTGTAAGGAGCTCCACCATCAGCCCTCCCTGGGACAGGCTGCCCCGAGGGAGCTCTAGGGCTGCCTTTAGCCAGAGGAGGCCCCGGAGATGCTGGGAGGGCTGGAGCCCCTCTGCTGGGAGGAGGGGCTGAGAGAGTTGGGGGGGTTCAGCCTGGAGAAGAGAAGGCTCCGGGGAGACCTTGGAGCCCCTTCCAGTCCCTAAAGAAGGGGGGCTCCAGGAAAGCTGGGGAGGGACTCTGGATGAGGGAGGGGAGCCCTAGGAGGAGGGGGAAGGGTTTGACCCTGCAAGAGGGGAGATGGAGCTGAGCTGTGGGGAAGAACTTGTTTGGTGTGAGGGTGGTGAGAGCCTGGCCCAGGTTGGCCCGAGAAGTTTTTTTTTGTGGTTGAACTCAATGATCTCAGAGGTCCCTTCCAACCACTAAGATTCTGTGATTCTTTGACCCTGAAAGAGGGGAGATGGAGCTGAGCTGTGGGGAAGAACTTGTTTGGTGTGAGGGTGGTGAGAGCCTGGCCCAGGTTGGCCCGAGAAGCTGTGGCTGCCCCATCCCTGGAGGGGTTCAAGGGCAGGTTGGAGGGGGCTTGGAGCAACCTGGTGTGGTGGGAGGTGTCCCTGCCCAGGGCGGGGAGTTGGAATTTGATGTTCTTTAAGGTCCCTTCCAACCCAAACCATTCCGTGATTCTATAATGCTCTTGCTTTTAGACAGACACACACTTTTTTTGTTATTTTATTTTAATCATCAAAGCCAGATCTTTGTTGCTACCACATCCTGGTCCATAAAGGCAGAACCATCAGCTCAGCTGGCCCTGCCTGCCCTGAGGCTGTGTGTCCTGTGGCAGGGAGAGGTTTCTTTCTGAAGTCTCTGCCGAGCTTTTACCTCTTTGGCTAAATAATGCTTCAAAGGGACAAGAAATAAAACGGGAAGCTCTGCCTGGGTTGGAGGTCTGTAGGGTGGCGCGTGGAAAGGTGCCCTTGGACACCTCGTTACTGTGAAGCAGAATTGCTTTCCATCCAGCAAAGAGTTTATCGGGTAAATCAAGCTGGGTTTTTATTAAATCACACCATCACAGCTCCTCGTAACCCTGCGGTCTCTCTCCTTCCTCTTCTCTCTCCTTCCCAGCTTTGTCTGCAGCAAGAGTGGCCACGTCCTGGAGGTGGACTACAAGAACGTCTGCGTGAGGAGCGTGCGGCGGCTCCTGCCCGCAGAGCCCCGGGGCTGCCCGCGGCGGGACAGGGCAGGTAGGAGGGTCTGCAGGCAGGGCTGACACCAACCAGCCAGCACCTTCATCATCCTCAGGGTCACAGATTAATTCAAACCAACCCCTGGTAGAACAAACCAGCTCTTTACCTACCGCTGAGGATAATTTGGGGTTGATTAGAGAGATCGTTGCTGGCTGTTTGCCTCTTAAGCACCACAAATAATCTTCCTTAGTGCAGCAAAGTATCATTTTAAGAAAGAATTTTAGCATTTGAAATGCTGATTGCACTTTCAGAGAAACACTACTTTTAGAAACATGAAACAAGGTCTTAATTTGCTGATGGGAATCTTAATGGAGAGATGGAAAAAGAGCTAAGCGGACCAACGAAAAAGAAGAATTTGGGGATTTTTTTTTTTCATTATCCGGCCTGTGCAGAGTGTTTGGGAAGTCTTTGCTGCTGTGTACTAAGCAGCACAGCTTTCAGCTCTGCCATTAATTTTAACAGCGGGAAGAATTCACTTTCAAGTGTGATTTGCTCTGATATTTTAAAACGTAGTGGCATCGTTTGCTTTGGCAAATTGAGCTAATTAATCCAGAACGTGCCCCTTTGAGAGGTATGGAGCTCTGGTTCTCACTTCATGGGCGACAAAACGCCCAAGAGGAGATGAAACAACGTCCTTGGGTGTCCTCCTGGCAGCAGTGCTGGCTCCTCCAGTGCTTTGCCTTTATACCTGCATCAAAAAATCCCAGTTTCTGAAGGTCTGTATTCTCTCTCCCTTCTCACTACGCTGCAGAGAGGATTTGAGACGTGGAAATGAAAGGGGTTTGTATCTCGGGCAGTTAATCTAGAAAATCCCTTGCCGCAAGATCCTGTTAAGTCGAAAGTACAGCAGGGCTTAAAAAGTGGTAAGAATTTTCTGTGCCTGGTGGGAGTAAGCAGTCGTGTGATGGTGGAAAGGGACGGGGGCTGAAGGTGTTTTGAGTCCCAAGAAGGGCAAGCTGAGACTCCTCAGCCTTTATTGTCCCTCCCCATGGGATTCCTGGCATCATCCGAGACTTCAGCCGCTTGTGGAACTGTCTGACTTGGCTCTTGGATGGGGGAACCCTCAGTTTGTGTTTTCTAGTTTCAAGTGTACGAGGCACTTGTGTTGTTTTTTGGGTTTTCAGGCCCCGGCATTGCTATAAACAGTATTAGCTTCTCTTCAACCTTCTGCGCCACGGGTTCAGAAGATGGCTACCTGCGGCTGTGGCCACTGGACTTCTCGGCTGTTCTCTTGGAGGCGGGTGAGTAGAGCTGGGACTGGTTCTTCTGAGCTCCACCTCTCCCAGCAACCTGCTGCTGTGATGCCTGAGCTCCACTGCCACGTCTCCTAAAGCAGTTCTCATCAACGAGGGCATCCTTGGTGCCTGCTGCCCCTAAGATGGCTGGCTGGGAAGCCTTTTACTTCAACAACAGTTAGTCATGTTCATTCTTGTAACTTGTAGGAGAAAGGCAGGATGTGCTGGGTGAGAGCAGGGGCTCCGGCTTGATTTCTGTGCCCTTCCCCCCCATGGCTCTTCTGTCCATGAAAAATTAGGGGAGAAGTTGAGGGGTTTCTCACTGGTTTTGAAACAACCACCCTAAAAGCAGAGCCTGGGGAATTCTAGAAGGGGCAGAGACTAATTTGTCGCTAAACTCAAACCTTGAAAACGTTCAATCATGTGGGATGCTCATTCCTGGGTGCGTTCCTTTCCCAGATGTGAGTCTGGTTGGGTAGCTGTGCTCCAGCTGCTGCTCCTTTTTTTTTCTGGGGGAGGTTTCCTGACCCCTGTGTCTTTCCCCAGAGCACAAAGCTCCAGTCAGCTCTGTCTGCATCAGCCCCGACAGCCGCAAAGTCTTGTGCACGACGGCTGCTGGGAACGTGGGCTACCTGACTGTCCAGTCCCAGGACTACACCACCCTCATGCGCTCTCACCAGGACTCCGTTTTGGCCTTCTCGGTGGAGGGGCTTTGGAAGCAGATGGCAACGGTGTCTCAGGACGGCACCATCCGAGTCTGGGACCTGGTCTCCATGCAGCAGGTAGGTGAGATGAGGGTCAGGAGGTGTCTCACACGTTTAATAGTTTCCCTGGTCTCTGTTGGGTCTAGTTGTCAAAACTCCACGGTTCAACGTGCCCTTCTCTGGGACCTGGTCTCCATGCAGCAGGTAGGGGAGACGAGGGTCAGGAGGTGTCTCACACGTTTAATAGTTTCCCTGGTCTCTGTTGGGTCTAGTTGTCAAAACTCCACGGTTCAACGTGCCCTTCAATGTTAAGAAGTGCCCTTAAATATCCTCCCTGGAGCATGAGGGCAGAATACCCTTTCAGTGAAAAAATTTTTCCTAATATCCAGCCTGAACCTCCCCTGGCGCAACTTGAGGCCATTTCCTCTTGTCCTGTCGCCTGTGACTTGAGAGAAGAGACCGACCCCCACCTCTCTACACCCTCCTTTCAGGGAGTTGAAGAGAGCAATAAGGTCTCCCCTCAGCCTCCTCTTCTCCAGGCTGAATAACCCCGGCTCCCTCAGCCTCTCCTCATAAGACTTATTCTCCAGACCCCTCACCATCTTTGTCGCCCTTCTCTGGACCCGCTCCAGCCCCTCAATGTCTTTTTTATGGTAGGGGGCCCAAAACTGGACACAGTACTCACACGTTTAATAGTTTCCCCGGTCTCTGTTGGGTCTAGTTGTCAAAACTTCACGGTTAAACGTGCCCTTAAATGTTAAGAAGTGCCCTTAAATATCCTCCCTGGAGCATGAGGGCAAGAAATCCTTTGGAGGGACTTTCAGCTTAGTTCATAATTTGGCCTTAGCTTCTGAAATATTGCTAAACAAAAATATTTTCTTTTCCTCCGCCTTTTGAGTGTTGCTTTTTAACACCAAACATAATACCCACGGGCTTTATCTAGAAGCCCCAAAGACCCAGGACTTCACTGGGCTTCAGGTCCATCCCCATGCCTGTCATGAGGCACGCGGTGGAGGTGGGAGGCTGTTTGGTTGTTGGCTGTTGCCAACAACCATGTTGGCCAACCATGTTGGCTGTGGGTATGGCTTTATCCGGCTGTGTGCCCGCGGTGTGTCTCTCCCCCGTACAGCTCTACGACTTCACGGCTGCGGATGAAATGCCGAGCGCGGTGGCCTTTCACCCCACCCGGAGGATCCTGGCCTGTGGCTTTGACGGTGGGATGGTGAGGACCTTCTGCTTGAGCGCCTCCGACCTGCTGGTGGAGCACAAGTAAGGGCTTGCGGTGGGAGCGGCACCAGGGGAGGTACGGGTCTAACTGGGGTTGTCCTGGCAAGAGCCACGGTGATAGCATCCTGGTTGTATCAGGAACAGTGTGGCCAGCAGGACTGGGGCAGTGATGGTTCCCCTGTACTGGGCACTGGTGAAGCCCTCAGCAGGACTGGGGCAGTGATGGTTCCCCTGTGCTGGGCACTGGTGAAGCCCTCCTTCAAGGGCTGTGTACAGTTTTGGGCCCCTCACCACAAAAAAGACATTGAGGGGCTGGAGCGGGTCCAGAGAAGGGCAACGGAGCTGGTGAGGGGTCTGGAGAACAAGGAGAAGGGTCTGGAGAACTTCTGAGGGAGCTGGGGATGTTCAGCCTGGAGAAAAGGAGGCTGAGGGGAGACCTTCTCGCTCTCTCCAACTCCCTGAAAGGAGGGTGTAGCCAGGGGGGGTTGGTCTCTTCTCCCAAGTCACAGGCCATGGAACAAGAGGAAACGGCCTCAAGTTGCACCAGGGGAGGTTTTGGATGGATATTAGGGAAAAACTTCTACACCCAAAAGGTTGTCATGCCTTGGAAGAGGCTTCCCAGGGCAGTGATGGAGTTGCCATCCCTGGGGGTATTTAACAGCTGGGCAGAGGTGGTGCTGAGGGACATGGTGGGTTTGGCAGTGTTAGATTGATGGTTGGACTTGATGGTCTCTTCCAACCTAGACAATTCTATGATTCTGTGATAATCGTGGAGGTGGGAAAAGTGCTTTTCTTGAGTTCAACAATCCTCCTGTCCCAGCTGAGTGGTTTTCAGGCAGAGACAGCCTCCTGTGCCAGGGCTCTGGTGGTAAAAGTCCAACCTGTGAAGGCTGTGAGGGCTTTCTTTATGATTTCCTGAGGGACAGTTGGCCAACAGTAGGGAAGAGCTTGTCCTAGAGAGTAGCTGAGCAGGGGATCCTTGGGAACCTCGGTGTGGGACGTGGAGGATGCTCCAACGTGAGAGGGAGCGTGTCCCATCCAGGGACTGCTGGAGTCCATGCTTGCTGCTCGGTTCTCCAAGAAGTTGGGAGTGTTGGTTGTCCTGAGCACAGCGGGGTCCTCTTCCTGCCCCTGATTATTTTGCTCTGCTGGGTTCCTCACGTTGCTGCTGTTTTCTGGGGTTTTTTGTTTGTTCTCCTCCCCTTTTTCATGCTTTCTGCTTTCTTTCAGGCAGCACCGCACTGTCATCACTGGACTCACCTTCTCTCCAGACGGCAGCTTCATGTTCAGCTCCTGTTTGCAGGGAACTCTGGCTCTTTACAGCTGTGTGGCGCAGAAGAGCCACGTCCTGAGAGTCCTGGGTAAGACATTGGGTTTCTGAGTTGCTTTTCTTCTTTGTGGTGTTTTTTTTTTTATTACCACAGACATCCCAGTGCCAAAATTGGAGAGTTATTTTCTGAGGAACCTTCTGAGCCGTGTCACTTGTGTTTATACCGTCTGTGTGAGCAAACCCTGGTGACTGCCAACCCTTCCCAACCCGTCCTGGTTCAAACCATCTCAGCTTCCTCCGTGTTCTGATTTTCTGAAGGGGCTGGAATGGCACAGACCTGCCCTCTCAGGTCTGGGTCCAACAGAGCATTGCCTGGAAGCGACGCGAGCGTAGAATCTTCCTACTTAATTCATCCCCGAGCCCTGAATCTTTCTGTTTTGTGGATGTGCAGTTTAATTTATTTAAACTGGATCGTTTCCCTCGTCTTGCCCGCAGCGGAGCTCCGCAAAGAGCCGTGCTGGCGAACAGCAAAGGTGGAGAGCTGCAGGCAAGGGAAGCAGTGCAGGGGCAGAGCGGTTTAGAAACATTAATGTCATCTTTAATGTACTTTTTTTTTTTAAAATGAGCTGTGTCAGTACCAGCTGGGGCAGGGAAAGGGAGCTCCGTTACGCAATATTGTACAAAAGGGAGGATCCTGCCCCAAGAAATGTGCAGTTGAAGCAGGTGGAGAAGGAATAGGGGCTTGGAGAGACCAGGGAATTTATCCAAAATCCCCCAAGTTTGGTGTCAGTGCTGCAGCTGCACCTTCATGTTTTGACTCTGCCTGGCCATGTTCTAGGGACAGAACCGTGGAATTTTGGTAGTGGAATAAATACAGAGAATTGCTGTGATTTCTCTGATGTTGAGACCTTTGGGTCTACCTGCCCACCGGACCGACATCAGCGTGGTGGGGCTTGGCACCACCTTTGTTCTGCGCAGGGTTCAGACACCCAGGCTGCAGCTGACATCTCGCGTCCATAGCTCCTCGTCACAGCTTCTTGTGACGTTAAAAAATAAACTCTAAAATCAGTGGTGAGACACTGGAACAGGTTGCCCAGGGAAGTTGTGGCTGCCCCATCCCTGGAGGGGTTCAAGGCCAGGCTGGATGTGGCCTTGAGCAACCTGCTCTAGTGGGAGGTGTCCCTGCCCAGGGCAGGGGGGTTGGAACTGGATGATCTTTGAGGTCCCTTCCAACCCAAACCATTCTGTGATTCTATGATCAGTTTTATTCCCTTGGCTTTGTTCTGCTCTCAGAATCACAGAATCTTCTAGGATGGAAGGGACCTTAAAGATCATCTTGTCCAACCGTCAACCTAACTGACAAAAATAGACACCCACACAACAAACAAGGAGCATCATCACTAAACCATACCTCCCAGCACTACATCAACCCGTCTTTTGAACACCTCCAGGGATGGGGCCTCAACCACCTCCCTGGGCAGCCCATTCCAATGGCTGAGAACCCTTTCGGTGAAAAAATTTTTCCTAATATCCAGCCTGAACCTCCCCTGGGGCAACTTGAGGCCATTTCCTCTCGTCCTGTCGCCTGTGACTTGGGAGAAGAGACCGACCCCCACCTCTCTACACCCTCCTTTCAGGGAGTTGGAGAGAGCAATAAGGTCTCCCCTCAGCCTCCTCTTCTCCAGGCTGAATAAGCCAGTTCCCTCAGCCTCTCCTCATAAGACTTATTCTCTCCTTGAAAGCACGACCCGTTCAGTCAGGGGACGAGCTGTGTATCTAGACCTTGTCTTTGAGGTGGTTCCCCGCACCCTTTGGGGGTTGCAGATCCAATTTGTAGCATCTTCTACGTCAGAGGTTGCTTCTTTCTCAGGCCAGAATGTTAGCCCAGGGCTGATTGGGAGGCAGGAGAAGCTGCAGAGCGAGCTGGCTGCAGTGTGGGCTTTGCTCCTCTCTTCACTCTCTCTTTTGCTGTGACCCTCAGGCAACGTGGTGGCCCGGGATGCTGGGAGTGGTCCGGATGCTTTGGTGGTCAGCGGGGACAGCCGTCTCCTGGCCTTCGTGGGTCCCTCCAAGTACGTTGTGACCGTGATGGAGGCCTGCTCTCTAGATGAGGTACCCACCTTCCTGGGGGAGGGTGGTGAGGGGAGGACATGCCACAGGGGAGATTCCTGTAGGCTCCATCAGATGAGACAGATCAAGGGCCTTGGGCACCGGCGGTGTTGGAGAGGGCCCTTCCCTGATTCCTGTAGGCTCCATCAGATGAGACAGACCAAGGGCCTTGGGCACCAGCAGTGTTGGAGAGGGCCCTTCCCTGCACAGCAGATTCTTGCTCAGGGTGCTTACAATGAGGCTTGTTTTCCATTCTGTGAGATGGAAACAGAAAAGTCAAGGTTTTTCTTCTTCTCCAGCTTCATTTCCCTCTAGAAAGATAATTTGGAGAGCTTTGTCAGCTCCAACTCCTCCTTGTGAGCTGCTCTCCTGGGCAGTAGGGACATTGCCTGGACCTTGCAGCCCCCTAGACCCTTCCCTTCTCCGAACTGGGAAGGGAAAATTTGGGAGGGGAGCACTGAACCTCATGTTGGGAGAGCCATGAGAGCAATCCTTAGGTTTCTGCAGTATGTTTCTCCAGGACGTTTGTTCAGTAGCTCCTTGTTTCTTCACAGCTGCTGAGGGTGGACATCAGCATCCTCGATTTGAACAGCACGGCCTTGGACTCGGCGCTGAGGGTCTGCTTTGCTCCGGTGCCTCGGGGCGAGCTCCTGGTGTCCACTTCCTCCAACAAAATCCTTGTGCTCGATGCCAAAACGGGACGACTGGTGCGAGAGGTAGGACACTGTGAAGTTCCTGCACCGAGGTCTCGTGTCATGTGGGGCTTTGGCACTCCACGTCGCTGTAGGAGGCTAAATGAGAGAAGAACTCATCCTGGAGTCCACAGGCCTCAAAGAACCACGGGTGGCAGGCGTGTAGCTACCCTGCTGTGGTCGTGCTGAGCTTGTCCTTCTTTTCCATGCTGTCACACTCTTGCCCACGTGCTGAAGCTTAAGGAAGGACACGAACCAGCTCAGCTAATGCTGCTGGTGCTGTTTCTTGCCCTCAGGTGTCTCCCGTGCACAAGGTGTCCTGCTCTTCCTTGGCGCTGAGCAAGGATGGCCGGTACCTGCTCACTGCTGGCGACAGAGTTATCAAAGTGTGGGACTACGGGATGCGCTTCGATGTCAACTTCCAGGTACTGCCCCCAAAGGGAGGGGAGGGGGTTGGCGTATCTGAATCCCTGGAGAAGAGAGCAGCAAAATACCCTCTGTGGGACTTGGCCCCAGTCCCAGTTTGCCCAGTGGCTGAGAAACACAGCCCCGTTTCCATGTTCTAACACCCATCGCTGAGCACAGACCGGGGTTGCACCTCGCAGAGGTGAAGGACAGAGGTGGGTGTTCCCCCTGTGCCACCTAGAGAAGAAAATGACTCATCTAGGGTTTCCAAGGCATTGAGAGCTTGGGGATTTTCAGCTTCTGCGTGCTTCTCCAGACCGTTGTGTTGAAGGTCAACCCCAGGTTGATCAACCTGTAGGTGTGATGCTGGTTTCTGAGGGTACCTTCTGCCGAGGAGAGTAGACACTGGTTACGTAGGGCAGGGAGTGGAGTAACCCCCGTGGTGATGGAGAAGTTGAAGGTGTGCTCTCTCCCAGGTGTACATCGGCCACTCAGAGCCAGTGCACCAGGTGGCCTTCACCCCAGACCAACGGCACGTCATCAGCGTTGGAGATGCCATCTTCCTCTGGGATTTCCTGGCTCTGCCTGCGGAGAGGTCACCCCAAGGCAGGTAAGTCCACCGTGCTGGGCAGTGCCTTCTCCTGCTTCCCATCACCTCCCCTGCCCTGTCCCCTCTGGGTGTAATGCTGGTCCCCTTGCCTCTCCAGGGCTCCTTCCTCCGTGTCCACTCTGCTGCCGGGAGCAGGTGAGTTTGCCTCCTCCCATGAGTTGTGTTGGCCAGAAGGTTGGCCATTCTTCATGGCAGAGGGTAGGGGTTGGGTTTTTGGTCCCTTCCCTCAGAGGGTCAGACAGCAGGGGACTCACCAGCTAATTAACCCCAAACATGGCAGAGGGTAGGGGTTGGGTTTTTGGTTCCTTCCCTCAGAGGGTCATACAGGAGGGGACTCACCAGCTAATAACCCCAAGGCTCAGTCTTCAATTAACGAGCACCTCTTGGTGGGAGTCTGCCAAGGAGGGGATGTTCTGAGCAGAGCTGCTCTGGGTTTTCTGGTAGGTCTTTCAGCTTTTGCCTTCTGTCTCTCCCTTTCTCCTTCTGTCACTCTTTCCTTGCCCTCTCTGTCCCTCTGTCTCTCTGTCCCTCCTTTCCTTTAAGGACAGAGGAAAAGTAGCTTCTCCCGTGTAGGAGGAAGCTGGAGAAATGAGCTTGAAGGTATCACCATCGATCAGCCCAGGAGGATGAGAGGATCTAAGGGACGAAGGAATTCATAGTTCTTTAAGGACAGAGGAAAAGTAGCTTCTCCCGTGTAGGAGGAAGCTGGAGAAATGAGCTTGAAGGTATCACCATCGATCAGCCCAGGAGGATGAGAGGATCTAAGGGACGAAGGAATTCATAGAAACCCTTTTCTCTTCACAGAAGGGAGCTCTGAGAAGCTAAAGGATGTCTCTGAGACACCTCGGCAGACAGTTCCTCTTCCATTGTTGTCCTCGCCGCCGTGTTTGGATGTCAGCTCTGTCCACCAAGCGGGATGTCAAAGTAAGAGCAACTGCTTGCAGGAAAGGGGAGAATTAATCTTGTTTTAGGAGAAACTCCCTGCCTAGTTGAGCAGCAGCCTTGGAGCCACCCCTGCCTGTGAGCCCCATCCTGGCAGCCCAGTCCACACTTTCCTTCCCCTCACTTTGACAAAGCCAGTAGAGGTGTTGAGGTTCAGCACCCCTTTATCCTCTGCTCTCCTCCATACACCAAGCTGCTGGCACAGCTTCTCTGAGGGCCACGGTTCACAGAATCATAGAATGGTTAGAGTTGGAAGGGACCTTAAAGATCGTCTAATTCCAACCCCCCTGCCCTGGGCAGGGACACCTCCCACCAGACCAGGTTGCTCCAAGCCCCCTCCAACCTGGTCTTGAACATTTCATGGTTAATACCTTGCTGGGTACCCAGGAGGAAAGGTCTGCTTTGCCCTCCACCCTGACAGACAGGCTGTTACACAGAGCAGGAGAACACCACAGTCAAAGGGTCGGTCACACGTGAAACAGTCCTGAAGGACACGGATGGCTCTGTCCTCCCACTCATTGTTCTCTTCAGGTATTTTCTCCGAGTCGGACAAAGAGGAGGAAGCATGTCTGCCAGGCAGCAGCAGGACAGTGGCCAACGGAGAGAAAGATGCCTCAGTCTTTGTGGTGGAGTCGGTCAGAAACGAGGAGCTGCTTGTTGTGAGGCCCAAAGTCAGGCAGGAGAGCTTGAGGTCTCCTGGAGAATCAGCAAACGGTAAATCAGGGGGATTCCCACCTTATCCAGAGCTCAGCTCCTTAGTGCACAGGCCTGCATGGCATCTTGGTTGGAAAAATAAATAAAGATCATTATTAACGTGGCACAGATAGACCCGGACACGTGCTCCGAGTTGTGGGACAAAGAGGAGCAACGTGTCCCTGGGGGCTCTTCCCCAGGGTGTGATTTACCAGGGGAAGTCAGTATGGAGGGAAGCTCAGGCTCTTTCCCTCCTGCTGCTCCCAGGCACACCAGCAGCCCCTCTTCAGCTCGGAGCCATTATCATTTCTAAGTGGCACGTTCTATTAAATCTGTCTGAAATGAAAGCTCCCGATGTCTCTATTAATAGAGGCAGAGCCTCGAAGCTGCAGCAGTTGGTGGCGAGCTGCCAGGAGCAGGCAGCTGCCGGCGCTCAGCCCTGGGCAGTGCTTGTTGGAAAAATCCAACATAAAACTACACCTCTGCTCTTTAAAGACCCTTTTCCAAGCTGTGAGCCTTACACTTTCGCAGCGACGCCCAGGGCACGCAGCGTGGATGCCCTTAGGCTGGTGGGGATGATGGGGGGAGATGGGTTTTCCTCCTTTCTTCCTTTTTTCTTTCCTTTGCTCCTGGAAAGCTGATGCATTCGTACCGCTTTCTTCTCTGTGTGGCAGAACCCAGAAAGGAGACCAAAAGCCCCCAGTGCTCCGTCCGCCCGGATTCCTACCGGCATTTCACTCCTCGCTTCAAGGCGTCGGTGCTCCCCCAGGTGAGGGTTGGGCCAGGGCTGGTTCCTTGGGCAAGTTTTGGGGGTGAATTTTCCAAATCATTTCCATTTTCTTCTCTCCTTGAAAGCAGTTTGTGAAATACACCCCGAGGCCTGATGTACAATTAGAAACCCTTGACACTAGTCCCCCCTCTCTTCTCCACACGCAGCTCTTTCCAGACTAGTAAAGAAGCGAGTTGCGATCAACTCTATTTTTTTTATAATTTTTTTTTTTTTTTCTGCTCGGCAAATCTGTATACATTTTTATTCAACCTGATGTACAATTAGAAACCCTTGACACTAGTCCCCCCTCTCTTCTCCACACGCAGCTCTTTCCAGACTAGTAAAGAAGCGAGTTGCGATCAACTCTATTTTTTTATATTTTTAAATTTTTTTTCTGCTCGGCAAATCTGCATACATTTTTATTCAAAAGGGATGGAAATGGCATGTGCTATTGAAAGCGAAAGACGAGTGAGCAGTGGAGTGATTCATCGTGTTTGGGAGCAGATGCGTTGGCAGAGCGGGCTGGGGAAGGCGATCCGTCGAGCGCGGGGAAGGGAGTCGAGGCGCAGCTCTCGCTCTGGTAACAAACAGAGCACTGAGAAAACAGAAACATCACAGAATCACAGAATCTTCTAGGTTGGAAGGGACCTTAAAGATCATCTTGTCCAACCGTCAACCGAACTGACAAAAATAGACACCCTCACAACAAACAAGGAGCATCATCACTAAACCAGACCTCCCAGCACTACATCAACCCGGCTTTTGAACACCTCCAGGGATGGGGCCTCAACCACCTCCCTGGGCAGCCCATTCCAATGGCTGAGAACCCTTTCAGTGAAAAAATTTTTCCTAATATCCAGCCTGAACCTCCCCTGATGTAACTTGAGGCCATTTCCTCTTGTCCTGTCGCCTGTGACTTGAGA